CTCCAAAAGCATCAAATCTCAATGGAAATCTCCAAATTTTCAATAGAAATCTCCATCCAAAAGCCTCCAAAAGAATCAAATCTCAATGGAAATCTCCAAATGTTTGATAGAAATCTCAATCCAAAAGCCTGTAAGATAAGCAAATCCCAGCAAATTCAAAAGGGAAAAAGTAAACTATAACAATTAAAAAAAATCCACTACAACTACCCCTCCAAAAAAAAAAGACATTATTCTAGGGGCCTTTATTAATCAGTGCAGGGAAAAAAAAGACATAATTCTAGGGGTCTTTATTAATCTGAGGACTACATTAGGGGATCTAGAGGTCTAGAGCAGGTCCTGAGATCCAGGCAGATGAAGAGTTCTAGAGGTCTAGGGGACATGAAGCCTGTAAAATCTTAGGGGCCGAGAGTTTGAGGTCTAGGAGGTTCCAGAGGTCTGGAGTCTGCAGGCGTAGAGATCCAGAGGTCAAGATCTGGAGAGGTCTTGGAGCTTTAGATGCAGAGGTCTGGAGGTCTAGGGACGCAGAGGTCCAGAGGCCTTGAGATCCAGAGTATCAAGACGTCTGGGCCTGGGGCCTGAAACCCTGAAACCTCGAGGTCAAGGTCGAGGTCTAGAGGTGGATGGAGAAAGAGAGAGAGAGATGTCAAGAGATCTGGAGGCCTAATCAAAGGTCTTGCCACAAAATCTTCACTTCAAGGTCCACAAAGTGCTGCGCCTGCCACGACATGTGCACCACAAGGCCCTGCGCCCACAAAATCTGCACATCAAGATTAACATCGCGCAGCCCTGCCAAGGCGTTTCGCAGCAAGAGCGCTTCCAAATGCAACATCAAAATGCCACAAATAACACCGAATTAGCTGGGCATGCCGATGGAGCACCTCGATGAGACACCCGGCCTTAACACCTACCGTAAGAGTGTGACCACAGTCTTTGGTGCAAAAAAAGAAGGCACGGGCTTTAAGGGCCCCTTAAGTAAGGGCTCTTCTTAACAGGGGCCTTGCCCTTTTCTTTTTACAGCCTCCTCTTAAGTGCCAAATCAAAGAGCAGCCTGTGCCACCCATGTGGGATTTTTGCTGGCAGTGCGCACATTTTCGGTTCAGGCATCTGGACATTTGGAAGCCAGTCAGGCCAACCGATCAATAATTCAGACAGTTTGCCGGTCCGCAGTGACACCTGTTACTACTAGTAAGGCACTTGTTACTACTAGCTTTCTTGTTACTACTAGTAAGGCACCTGTTACTACTAGTAAGGCACTTGTTA